AAAAGGTTTCGTGTTCGATTCCTGGACAAGGCACATACTTAGATTGAGTGTTCAATCCCCAGCTGGAGGCAACTGATAAGTATCTTGTGGGTGGTTTTTGTTTTTTGGTTTTTTTTCTCTCTCTCTCTTTAGCCCCCTTTCCTCTTTATCTAAAAATCAATAAAAAGCATATCCTTAGGTGAGGATTAAAAAAAAAAAAATAACATATCATTTTATAAGCCAAATTTTTTTCAACCATACAAAAAATTGCCTTTACCCATCTCCCCCGCTAGCACAATTAAGTTTTTTGTTTCATCTCCTCCCAGCCTTTCCCGGGCCACTTATCCAGCCAGGCCAAGAGAACAGGGTCATGTCCCGGCATTATGCCCCCTCTAGCATACCTTCGTGGCAACTCACCGGGAGAATGGGACTGTTCCCGGGGAGAGAGCACCCTGCCTGGAACTCTTGCTTCTCTGCAGTTCCCCAGTGTTCTTTCTTTTTAAAAAAAATATATTTTATTGATTTTGTACAGAGAGGAAGGGAGAGAGATAGAGAGTCAGAAACGTTGATGAGAGAGAGTCATCGATCAGCTGCCTCTTGCACACCCCCTACTGGGGATATGCCCGCAACCAAGGTACATGCCCTTGACCGGAATCGAACCCGGGACCCCTCAGTCCCCAAGCCGACGCTCTATCCATTGAGCCAAACCGGTCCCGGCCCCAATGTTCTTTCTTAAAATATATTTGTATGGCTTTCACCGAGGAAGAGAGAGATAGAAACATCTGTGATGAGAGAGAATCATTAATTGGCTGCCTCCTGCATTCCCCACCCTGGGGACTGAACTTGCAACCTGGGCATGTGTCCTGACTGGGCATCTAACTGTGACCTCTTGGTTCACAGGTCGATGCTCAAACACTGAGCTGCACTGGCCGGGCCCTGATGTTCTTTTTTTTAAAAAATATTTTTATTGATTTTTTACAGAGAGGAAGGGAAAGAGATAGAGAGCTAGAAACGTCGATGAGAGAGAAACATCGACCAGCTGCCTCTTGCACATCCCCTACCAGGGATGTGCCCGCAACCAACGTACATGCCCCTGACCGGAATCAAACCTGGGACCTTCCAGTCCGCAGACCAGCGCTCTACGGCTGAGCCAAACCGGTTTTGGCCTGATGTTCTTGATAAGGCCATGCATCAGACTATTTCACTTCTTTAGATACGTTCACCTTTTCGATCATTGGAGGCCACTTGGAACCTGATTGTCGTTTTCTCTCTAGCCAGCTCCCTCTCCTCCCTCGGGTCTTGCAGAGTTCCACTGGACTTTTCTCTCTGCCACCAACTTTCCGTGGGGACGGTGAGCCTTTGCCCCCAATAAATCTCTTGGAGGATAAGGACCCTAATTCACATCTCTCTATGCCTCCCTATCAGGGCCTCCTACCTGAGTTTCCCAAAGCCCCTTCTTCTTTCTTCCTGGAAATCCCCGCTTGCATGACAAGCCAGGAGCTCATGACACCGTGGTTTCAAGCTGGGGACCTAGCTGTGAGGGAGAAGGCAGAAATGTGTATCCCTGGCCACTCCCTTCCACAGCCACAGCCCAGCCCACCCAGAGCCCTGCCAGTGCTGGGAGGCCCAGGGGAAGGCAGTGTCCATCCCTCCCGGGCCCATCACTGGTCACTAGAGCCCCCTGAGCCTTGGCGTGAGAGGCAGGTGGAGCCTGAACCACGTGGACCAGGCTCAGCCTGTGTCGCCAGAGTTTCAGTTCCGCCACTCTACTGCCTGACCCCGGGCAAGGTGGTTAACCTTCCCAGGACCATTTCCTTTTTTAGACAATGAGAGGAATGGTGATATCTTCCTCCAAGGGTCATTGTGAGGATTAGATAATATCACTCCCCCTCCAATGCTCAGGACAGGTTGGCACACACTTAGTGATCAATGAATGTTAGCTGTGCCGAAATCGGTTTGGCTCAGTGGATAGAGCCTCAGCCTGCGGACTGAAGGGTCCCAGGTTCGATTCCAGTCAAGGGCATGTACCTTGGTTGGGAGCACATCCCCAGTGGGGGGGTGTGCAGGAGGCAGCTGATCAATGTTTCTCTCTCATCGATGTTTCTATCTCTCTATCCCTCTCCCTTCCTTTCTGTAAAAAAAATCAATTAAAAATATATTAAAATAAATAAATAAATGTTAGCTGTGTGCACCAGGCGCCCTACTGGGGGTCAGGGATACAGAAAAAGAGGCACAGGGACTCTCAGTGGAGAAGGCAGTGAGTGAGAAAAAGTAGTAATGGAGTACAAGGGATGAAGAAGGGGCCTGAGAAGGAGGAAGAGAGGTCAGGAGGGCTTCCTGAAGGAGGTAGCATTCCCTAAGAAGGAAGGAAGGATGGTTGGTGCAGAGAGAACTACAGGATCAAGGACAAAGGTGAGGAGGGGCCAACACGAAGATAACAGATAGATAGGGAGGACCACAGAGGCTCCAGCCAGTGTCTGAAGGACGGTGAAGAATTCTAGGCGGGAGCAACTGGGCAGATGCGCCAGAGGGAAGGAACCTATAGCTTACAGGTGGAGGATGGGCTGGATGGTGAGCGAAAGTGAGCAGGTCCATCATGTGGAGGCTGTGAGGAGACCCAGACCGGAAAGGAAGGACCGCCCCAGGGGCAGGGGGTTCTGGCAAGGTCAGAGCTCAGCACTGGGAAGCTGAGGGCTCGGTGAGTAATGATGAATGAGTGAGCAGTTCGTGACTCGAAGGCTGCTGATGGGAGCCGTTGGGTGGCTGGTTGTGTCTCTTGCCCAAAATGGAAATAACCGGCCGAGACCGGTTTGGCTCAGTGGATAGAGCGTCGGCTTGGGGACTGAAGGGTCCTGGGTTCGATTCCGGTCAAGGGCATGTACCTAGGTTGCGGGCATACCCCCAGTGGGGAGTGTGCAAGAAGTGGCTGATCGATGACTCTCTCATCGATGTTTCTAACTCTCTATCTCTCTCCCTTCCTCTCTGTACAAAACCAAAATGGAAATAACCGGATGAAAGCCGGTGGTGATGCGGATGGGACTAAACTCAGTTGGGGGGCGTCAGCAGCCCCACTAGAGAACCCGTGTGATGCCTCATTCCAGAACTTGGGCAGAAAACCAGAGGACCGGGAGCAGAGCTGACCTGCTCCCCGAGCCCAGTGAGGAAACTGTCTCCTGATTTCCAGGCTTGGAATTTCAGCCATACTAAGGTTCTGTGGACTTCGCCCACCACTGTACTTCAGACTGCTGTGGACCATCCTGCCCCTCCTTTCCTTGGTCCGAATTCTCCCCCTGGACCCACTGCCCCTGGCACCCACTGTCCCCGGCACCCCAGCCAGCATCAGCCTGGCCTGGGCTCCCTGGTCTGGACGCTAAGTGCCTAGAGCTATGGAGGGTGGGCTTGGAGCTGGTCCGGTAAGGTACAGACAGAGACTTGATCACTGAGGGGTGGAGGTGGGAGGGGTGTGAAGCCCTGGGAACCACTATAGGACCTGGGCCTGTCCTTGCTCCTCCATGGAACGCCAGGAAGGAATCAGAGCGTCCGAGCCATGGGAGAAGATGAGCTGAAAGAAAAGAGAGATGGTGGAGGAGTGGGCAGTGGGCCACAGCAACAGAGAAATCCACTCAAGACAGCCTGACAAGTGTCCCTTGGCTTAGCGAAATGGCAGCCTCCAGTGACCTTGGCAAAGGCAAGGAGCTGGGGAAGGGCGGAGGGCAGGAGAGATGGAAACACAGAGACAAGATTCCTCTTTCCAGAAGTCAGAGTCAGGGCAAGGAAGAGGGTGGCAGAGGGAGTTGGGGAGGGCTTGGAGCTCAAGGGAGACCCAGAAAGCACTCAGCCAGGGCTCCTGAAAGGGAGGAGACAAAAGAGCACAGGAAACCAGAGCTGGTGGGTAGATAACCAGGTAGCCAGTTGGGGTGCGGGACCACCGCCTGGGACCAGCAGGGCGGTGTCAGTTCCAGGCCAGGCTGCATGCTGGGCTGGAACCATGGCTGCTGCTCCAGAAATAAGGACAGCTCTGCAGGTGCAAGCTTTGCCTGAGGACAGACAGGACAGGGACCCCAGAACGGGCAGTCCTCTGGGGAAGCCTGCACAGGCCGCACGCAGCTCGGACAGACTTCACACCAGTCACGCTTTCATCTGGAGAGAACAGCGACACCCCTCCCCCCAACCGAAGTCTGGGTCCCTAATGCCAGAGAGGAGACAGACGAAGGGAAGGGCGTTCCTTTTCCTAGGAAACCGGGGGAGAATTCATCCATTTCTGAATGGTGGGTCTGGGTCTGGAGGAGACTGTGGTCGGGGTCAGGGTGGAGCGACCGAGGGGATCCCCGGGTGGGCTGGGGGCTCTCCGGGGACTGGAGCCTCCGAGGCAGGCGCCCGGGACTCGGCGTTGGGCTCCGTCCCCTCGGGTGCTCACACCGCTCCGGGAGGAGGAGAGAACGGCCCTGGGTGCCTTCGTGAGAAGCCGGGGGCCGACGACCCACGCCGCAAACGCAGAGAAGCAAACCCCGGGAACCGAACCCTGGCGGGCGCCGCGCAACCGCAGAGGAGGCGGGGCGCCGCCACGTCCGGCCCCGTATGGTAATGTGGCCGCCGCCGCCCCGCCCCGAGGGGGGAGCCGGACTGGCGCACCGCCGCGGGGGCCGGGGTGCGGCGGAGCCGGGCGGCGCGCCCGCTGAGGCCGGGGAGCGGGGGTACAAGGCCAGAGTCCGGGCCGGCGGGGCGGCCGCGCGGAGTGGGCAGGGCAGCGGGCCGCCAGGGGGTGCGGGGCCGGGCTCCCCCCCCGGCGCGCAGTGGTACGGCCCGGGCCGGCGGGGCGGGGCCAGGGTCATGTGACGCGGTCGCTGCGGCCATTTTGTTTTGCGGAGCTGGTATTTAGAGCGCAGCGGCTGACTGCCCGGGAGCCTTCGCCGCCACGTCCGGTCGCCCGCCTCGCGCCCGCCGCCAGCCCGCTCGCCTCGCCAAGCCGGTCCTCGCCCCCGCCGCGGCCCGCCGAGCTCGCCCCCTCCCCACCCGCAGCCATGTCCGAAGTCAAGACCGGCGGCCCCGAGTACGCCTCCTTTTTCGCGGTCATGGGCGCCTCGGCCGCCATGATCTTCAGCGGTGAGCGCCGCGACCGGAGGGACCCGGGGGGGCACCGGGGCGCGTGGGTCTCGTGCCCGCGGCTTGCCGGGGGTTCGGTGTGTGACGTCACTCTGACGTAATCCCAAGCTGTCGTGGTCCCGGGGCTCACGTGACCGCGGGCGGGGGTCCGGGCCCAGGAGGAGGATGCCTGGGCCGCGGGGTGTCCATTGCAGGGCTTACGGGTTGGGTCGGGGTGCGGGTCCCAAGGGTCACCCCGAGATACCCGGGCCGGCCTCCCTGCTCCCGTTCCGAGCCGGTGCGGGGGTGGGGCGATGGCGCCGCTGCCATCTTAGCCGGGAGAGGTGGGGGGAGGCTGGGGTGGGGGCGCGCGGTCCTGCGCCTGCTCCGCATCCTCCGGCCCTCCCCCTCTTCCCCCTCTTTCCTCCCCCCAGTCCTGCGGGAAGGCGTGACATCACACCTCACACAGCTTCCCACACGTAGGGCCGGCCCAGTCCGTGGGCGGTGGGGATGGGGGATCGGGTCCTGGTGCTCCCAGCCGAGGACCACAGCCCTGGTCCTTCCCTCCATCCCCTCCCCCCCATCCCCTCCTTCCCGCAGCCCAGGCCCAATGGGTCTAACCCTGAGGTAGGAGCTTCCGGTTAGGGCTTGTCACTGTTTCCCAATAGCCCTGTGTGGGTTTGTTGGGAAAGCTGGGCTGAGCAGTTGGTCCCGAGAGCGGGCAGGAACCCAGGGGTGGGAGTGTTTGGGATTGAGACAGGCCGAGGACAATGGGAGCCTGGCCAGCGTCAGCGCCGTGACGTGTGGACGCTTGCTTTGGAGGGGATTGCACAGAGGATCTCAGCATTGAGGGGATTGGGTCTTTGTCCTTCGGGGAGTTTTCTAGTTGAGGCCCCAATGAATGAATGAATGACCTTCCTTTCCGTAAGGCCTGGTATTGAGAAGGGCTGCCCTAGGCATGGAGAAAGGGGCCTTCCAGGGTTCTTGATGGCACCCTGCTTTTGAAGTTGGGTCTTGACAGTCCTGAGGTGTTGAATTCAGTGAAAATTGGCCCTGGAGAAAGATCACTGGGGGCAGGCCCAGGAATGTGCAACCCAGGGAGGTGAGTCCTGGCCCAGATGCAGCCCCCATGGACTGGTCTGGCCTGGTCTGGGTCTGGTTTTTGGCTTTGATGACCACGCCCTGCCCCACCCTACCTGATGCATTGGTAGGCTCCCAATGCAGGTATGTGGAGGGTTTGAACTCCAAACAGCCTCGGCTGACTGTAAACACTGGTGAGGCGGGGACTTGGGGGGCTCTGCTCTCTGGGAGGCCTCCCTCTCCCTGAGCCTGCCTGCCAGTCACGAGCTGCTGAGTGAGGCCTGTCCTTTCTATCATGTGCCCGTAAGAGGTCATTTGTGGTGGGAGAAGGCTGAACTTCCCCTTCCCTTCTAGCCAGCGCCTGCTCTTTCCACATCTTCAGGGCTGACTGCTCCCCAGAACCTCCCGGCAGGCTGCCGCGCCTCCTTACCCCAGCCTTTTCTGGGCTTGGCCTCCGGGATTCTGCTTAACTGGCCTCCTGGGGTGCTACTTGTGGCTGTCACTTATTCAACAAGTCTTGATTGAACTCCTACTATGTGCCAGCCACTGAGAGACATAAGTGAATAAAACATAATGCCTAGGGGTTTCCCACCGTCTTGCTTTCTCCTGCCTCCTTACTCCATCACCAATGAATTTCATGTAACCCACCTATGTCCCTCCTTTGATTGCAATGTATAAATAGAGAAATGAAACCCGCCATTCTTCGGAGCATTATCTCAATCCGTTGAGGTTCTGCTTCCCGGCATATGTCGACAATTTGGCTCAAATAAACTTACAAAAATTCTTTAAAAAAACCATAATGCCTGCCCACCTGGAATTCTGGCTGTCACTGTTTGCCCCCGAAGCTGAGTTTGCCTGTTAAGCACATTATTTGTATCCAGCTCCTAGTCGCCCTCTGAATACCAGGTGCCTCTCTTTTCCTTCTAGAACTTACTTGGTACTTTCTTTTTCTCCCATTTATTTTCATTGATTTCAGAGAAGGGAGAGGGAGAGAGAGAGAGAGAAACATCAATGGTGAGAGAGGATCATTGATTGGCTGCCTCCTGTAAGCCCCCTACTGGGGAATGACCCAACAACCTGGGTGTGTGCCCTTGATCAGAATTGAACCCAGGACCCTTCAGTCCACAGGCGGACACTATCCACTGAGCCAAATCAGCCAGGGCTTACTTGGTACTTGCAATGGAACCTGGCCGGCAGAGCTCCAAAAATTACTGAGCATAGGATAGCACTGATCCTGGGCTCTTTTTACTGATCCCAAGCTCCTGGGTTTTGAGGCCATTCATTCCTATTGTTATAAATTCAGCTTCATTCCTTCTTTCCCTAATTGTGGTTTACTTTTTTTTTTTTTTTTAATATATTTTTATTGATTTTAGAGAGGAAGGGAGAGGGATAGAGAGAAACATTAATGATGAGAGAGAATCATTGATCAGCTGCCTCCTGCACGCCCCCTACTGGGGATCGAGCCCAAAACCAAAGCATATGCTCTTGGCCGGAAACAACCTGGGACCCTTCGGTCTGCAGGCCAACACTATCCACTGAGCCAAACTGGCTAAGGCTGTGTTTGACTTCTTATTTCATTTCTCGTTTAACATGTGGTCGGCAAACTGCGGCTTGCGAGCCACATGCGGTTCTTTGGCCCCTTGAGTGTGGCTCTTCCACAAAATACCACAGCCTGGGCAAGTCTATTTTAAAGAAGTTGCATTTGAAGAAGTTTAAGTTTAAAAAATTTGGCTCTCAAAAGAAATTTCAATCATTGTACTGTTAATATTTGTCTCTGTTGACTAATGAGTTTGCTGACCACTGTGTTAAGCGCCCAGAACTGACCAGTAACTGACACTATACTTTCCATCGGGAAGACAACACAGGCTGGGCGCTTGACGTGCTAAATATGTCTTTCTCCAAGGCTTTTCTTCCTCTACCTCCTTGTGCCTATGTGAACAGACCCCTCATTCTCAGGACTCAGGTGTCGCTGCCTGGCCGACTCCAAACTGTCCCCAGCTCCTGGCCTAGATATTCCCTGGCCTGCCTGGGGCTTTGCTGATTGGTCGTCTTACTCTCAGGCCTCCCCAATCTCCATCTCCCACTTCAGCTTCCTCTTTTTTTTTAAACTTGTGACCAAAAAAATCCTCTTGATTCTTCATCATGTCTTCCACGAAGCTGTCAGTTGTTCCTTTTCCATAATTTTGTGGCTTCCTCCTGCTGGCAGACACCCTGTGTTTGGTGCTGTGTTCTTGGAACTGCCATCTGATCACAGTCTCCCTGTCTCCATTGGATCTGGAGCCCCATGGGGCTTGGCCTTCAAAACTATCCAGGGCTTTCTCAGACACCTGCTCCCCAGCCAGACTGCTTTTCTCTCCTGATGGTCATTCCTGTTTCTTCCCTTCGTTCTTGGGAACGTGATCTCCCTGCTGCCCCCTGAGAGAAGGGCCCCGCTCACTTCCTGCCTCTCAGGATTCCAGTGCTGAGTTCCCTGAAACGGTCTCCCCACTAAGAGCCATGGCAGCCTGTGCTCTCACCCTTCAGCCGTGGCACTGGCCCCTTGCACATATGTGACAGCCTGACGTGCTGGGCCTCCATCAGGAGCCCAAAGGATGCAGTGCAACCAGGAAAATGCCAGGAAAGGCTTCATGAAGACAGAGGCCCTGGGCCCCAAGCTAAAGCCGCTGAATGTTGAGGCAGCCTGTGCTGAGGTGCCTCTGGGACCATGGGGAGGAGGCAGTTCAGTCCCTTTGCCCCACCCTTGCCTCCTACCTCCAGTAGGTCCCCATCCAGCACTATCTTAGCATCTCCATTCAGGCTGTTTGGAATCTTCCTGTTCGTCATCCCTCACTCAGATGTTACCTCTACAAAGCCCTTTCCCAGACCCCATCACTATCCACTCTCCTGGAACATGTCACTGTGCTTGGAAGTGCTGCCTCTGTGTCCTCACCAAGCCTAGCGCCCGAGGAAGGCAGCAACCCTCCGAGTTCTCCCCTGCTTAGTAAAGAGCAGAATAGGTACCTTGTGGCCCACATTGGTGAGCAAAATGTGCAGAGGAATGGCCAGGATTTTCTTGGCCCCTTCCATCTCCAACCCATGTTGTCCTCTGCTCAAGAAGTACAGTGGAACCCTGGAGAGCAGGTGACTGAGTCAGAAGAGCTACCTTGACCTACTGTGGTTACTCTAGACTTCAGAACCAGAAGAGGGTAACATTCAGAAAGGCAGCTGCTCTAAGAAGAGAGAGGAGGGCAGCGGAAGAGGAACCAGGCTTTCCTAGAGCCCAACCCCGTTACTGGGGCCGTGGGCAGAGGCAGGCTTCTGGGAGATCTGCTGAGGCCTCACAGTTGTGCTGGGTGATGACCCCACAGCCCCTTGTCTTCCTGTGCCCTTTCTCCTCTCTGGTTATTTAGAGGATCCTCCCCAAACTTAAGGGTCTGGGTCTGCTGTATGGTTGCAGGTGTGCTCATCCCATCAACACAGACGCCACCTCTCCTAGCATTGTGTCCCAGGGCAGGTGCTGGGAGTTTAGTGGGCAGGGTGGGGAGTCGGGAAACTCCGGCCTGAGAGAACAGGACTTAGCAGGTTGCTTCCTCTGAGCAGTGGCCAGACCCTGTGTGTCCTGGGGCTCTTCCATCATATTGTCCTTGGGCATAGCCCTAGGGCCAACAGGCTGGCGCTGGCCTAGCATCTGGGCTGCCAGTATGCAATCCCGTGCTTTTCCAGGCCTTGGCGACCCGAGTGCCTGAGACTCCAGGTGGGACAAAATGTGTCCAGAATCTCCAGCAGGACAGCAGGGGCCCAGCTGCCTATTTCCCGTGTGACTGCCACCAGCCTGTTAGAGCTCCACCTTTTAGGTTGGGGCAGCTGAGCTGAACTCCTTGGGGGCATGGGATGGCACAGCAGGACTGGGGAGTGCGAGCACAGGTGAGGTTTCCTAGCAGAGCAGGAGCCCAGATAAGCCACCCAGCTCTCAGGCCCTCTGGCAGAAGAAAGGGACAGTCACCTGGGCTTTTGAGAGCTCGGCTTTGACCGTTTCCCCTGAGGGCCGCCTCCTGCCCCTGGCTGGGCACCACCGCACTGTCTCTGTGTCAGAGTTACTGACAAGGTTCTGGTTCCAGATGCCGGGCTCACTTTGCTTCCTCCCCAACAGCCTTGGGTGCTGCCTATGGTACCGCCAAGAGTGGCACCGGCATCGCGGCCATGTCTGTCATGCGACCAGAGCTGATCATGAAGTCCATCATCCCAGTGGTCATGGCTGGCATCATTGCCATCTATGGCCTCGTGGTGGCAGTCCTTATTGCCAACTCCTTGACTGAAGGCATTAGTCTCTACAGGTGAGTGCTGGGTTCCTCCCACCACACCAGCCTTGCCCTGGTTCAGGCCACTGCACAGGGCTGGAGGGCTGGGGAGTGGGCTAGTGGCCTGTGCCTACCGCCTTCCCCAACACAGCTAATGTCTGTCTCATGTCCTCTCTCCCCCAGGAGTTTCCTCCAGCTGGGCGCTGGCCTGAGTGTGGGCCTCAGTGGGCTAGCAGCTGGCTTTGCCATTGGCATTGTGGGCGACGCCGGAGTTCGGGGCACTGCCCAGCAGCCCCGACTATTCGTGGGCATGATCTTGATCCTCATTTTCGCCGAGGTGCTGGGTCTCTATGGTCTCATCGTCGCCCTCATCCTCTCCACAAAGTAGCTCCTCTCTAAGCCCACCAGCCACAGGATATGATGTAAAGACCACCCCTCCTCATTCCAGAATGAACAGCCTGATACACATGCACGGGGCAGCTGCCCCCTCTTCCCCCAAGTAGTTGGTCTTGTAAATGCGCAGTGTCCTAGTGCCCATCGTCTGTTGCCCCCACCCGCCCCGTGCCGTGGACATCTGGGCCCACTCATCATCACCCACCCAGGCCCCCCGACCAGTGAGGATGGTGGCTTCTAGCCACCCCCACCCATTTACCTGCCCTAGAGTGCTCTGTGTATAGGGATGAATTCGAGTTGTCGTTTTCACTGGATGTTTATTTATAAAGATTTGACCTGTTCGCACGTCTGTGGAGCAGCCCTGCAGTCTCCCAACTATAATAATCTTTAGAGTGTTGCTTTGTGGGGTTACCGTGTGCCCTGAGATTTTTTTGTATGGAACCACTGTCCTCCAGCCCTAGCTGCGGGGCCATGAGCTGGGCCTACCAGGCCCAGACCCGTGTCCAATAAAGTTCTCGGATGTGACTGGACATCTGTGTGTGTGCTTGTGTGGGCCAGGGGAAGGGGAGGGCTGCATATCCGCGGCGTCTGAGGGCTGGAGGGGGCGCGGTCACGTGGGCACGCTGGCCACGTGACACGCGCTGCAGTCAGCTGAGGGTCATGTGGGTGGGGCCCGTTCCGGGCAGGATAGAGCTGCGGGGCTTCCGGCGCCCGCAGCTGAATTCGGTTCATTCGGCTCAAGATGCGCGGCGGGGAGGGCGCTTCGCGGGCCCCAGTGCTCCAGCTCACCAACTGCCGCATCCTGCGGGGCCGGAGGCTGCTCAGGTGGCGTGCGGGGCCGGCGCTGCCGGGGTGGAGCCGGCGGGCGCAGGGTCTGGGCGTGGTGGACGCGGGCTGGGTGCCGGGGCTGGGCCGGCGACGCGAGCTCCCACCCCTCTGTCCGCAGGGAGGATCTGTGGGTGCGCGAGGGCCGCATTCTGGACCCAGAGAAGCTCTTCTTTGAGGAGCGGCTCGTAGCCGACCAGCGGCGGGACTGCGGGGGCTGCATCCTGGCGCCCGGCTTCATTGACGTGCAGATCAACGGTGCGGGCAGGGCCTGGGGGCGGAGGCCGGGCGGAGCTCCGAGCACCGTGCGACCTCCCCTTTTCTGTGGCCACAGGTGGATTTGGCGTTGACTTCTCCCAGGCCACAGAGGATGTGGGTTCGGGAGTTGGCCTGGTAGCCCAGAGGCTCTTGTCGCACGGAGTCACCTCTTTCTGTCCCACCTTAGTCACCTCGCCACCAGAGGTTTATCACAAGGTGAGGTCAGGCGCCCGGCCTCCAGCAAAGGGGGCCCGAGAAGTAGCCAGCTCCTTAATTTTCAGGTACCATCTCCTCTCCCCACAAATGCCCCTGGGCGCTTGGGTCTGACCTTACCTGCTGACCTCCCTCCATCTGGTCCTTGGGTCCTGTCCCCTGGTCGTTCTCAAATTCAGGTGTCCCTCTGCCTGCTGCCCAAGGCCCGCTGTCATTTCCGGTCTGCCTGCTGCAGCTGTCCCCACAGGCCTCCACATTTGCTGCCTCAGCACCTTCACCTGTCACGTGCCTTTCCTACTCTATACTCTGGCTACCTCCAGGTCCCAGAAACTGCCTCCTGGATCAAGGCCATGGACTTTCCCATTGCCACACCCTTCGCCACTTCTCAGGCCTTTCCCTAGCTAACCTGCCTGTGGTATAAGGTAAACATCCTTCCAGAGAGAAGCTCCATTGTACTCCAGCCTTTCTCTGCTGCTCTGCCTTCACCCCACACCCTCCCACTTCACTTCTCACCTGCAAGGCCTGCTCTTCAGGTGTCTGGGATCCTTTTTCCTTTAAGAAGTTTTACTTTTCATGCAGTTTCTTCACTTTACTCTTTGCCACATTTAATTATTTGCTCTTGTTCTCTGTGTGTGTATGTTTTATTTTTCCTGGAGGAAGTTGTATAGATTGTGCCTCTTCTTAATACCTAGCTATTTCTTTTTTCTTTTTTTTTTTAATATATTTTATTGATTTTGTACAGAGAGGAAGGGAGAGAGAGAGTTAGAAACATCGATGAGAGAGTCATTGATCAGCTGCCTCTTGCACACCCCCTACTGGGGATATGCCCGAAACCAAGGTACATGCCCTTGACCGGAATCGAACCCGGGACCTTTCAGTCCCCAAGCCAACGCAGTATTGAGCCAAACTGGTTTCGGGCACCTAGCTATTTCTTAATAGCATGGGTATTGTGTAGGCATAATAGAGTTATTGAGTTTAGGAAATTGTTATCTTTTAAACTACCCTCTTTGTTCCAGTTTTGTAGTATTTTTTCTTTCAGTACAGCAGTGTTTCCCAAACTTCTCTCATGATGAGAATCACCTGGTTAAGTATACAATTTTACCAATTGTTCCCAAAAATTCTAGTTTAGCACTTCTTAGTTGGGATTCAGGAATCTTTAGTTTAACAACTCCACCAGGTGCTTCTCATCATGAGAAGTTTGGGAAACACTGCGGTACAGGATCCATTCCCCGATCATTGATTGCATTACCCTCTGTGGGTTCCCTCCTGGGTGCGTGGAGATAGCACCAGAGCCAGGAGCTGTGGGAGGTGGATGTGGGCTCCTGACTTTATAATCTGTCAGCTGGGAGATTCATTACTTCTTTAAAAAAAACAAAACTATATATATATATATATATATATATATATATATATATATTATTGATTTTTTACAGAGAGGAAGGGAGTGGGAGAGTTAGAAACATCGATGAAAGAAACATCTATCAGCTGCCTCCTGCACAACCCCTATTGGGGATGTGCCCACAACTGAGGTACATGCCCTTAACTGGAATTGAACCTGGGACCCTTCAATCTGCAGGCTGAGGCTCTATCCACTGAGCCAAACCGGTTAGGGCCGTGGTTGGCAAACCGTGGCTCATGAGCCACATGCAACTCTTTGGCTCTTGAGTGTGGCTCTTTCACAAAATACCACAGCCTGGGCTAGTCTGTTTTGAAAAGTGGCATTAGAAGAAGTTTAAAAAATCTGGCTCTCAAAAGAAATTTCAATCATCGTGCTCTTGATACTTGGCTTTGTTGACTAATGAGTTTGTCGACCACTGGATCAGGGCTCCTTACTCCTTCTTAGCCTCAGTTTCCTCAAACCTAAAGTGAGAATAATAATGGTATTCATCTTTTAGAGTTGTTGCGTGCTCAGCACTGTGCTTGATATATATTAGGCACGAGCTAAAGTCAGCTGTGAACATGGTTCTGGAGACCTCTCGCAGCTCTTCCATCAGAGTCAGGTGTTCGAAACCAAACTCACCTTCCTGTTTCAGACTCGCACCTGATTCCATTCTTTCTCTCCTGGTCATTATCCTATAATTTACCGAACCTGGAATCCTGGGACATGCTCTCCCTCTTACTCCTTTGTTCTTTGTCTTCCCCCTTCCCAGTCCCCACCTGTGAGACTTAGTGACTGTTATCCTAGCCTCCTGAAGAGTGTACAGGGCTCAGCTCAGTACTCACACTCCTCTTCTGCCCTTATCTGCAGGGTAAACACCGCCGTCCCAAACATTGTCTCCCTGCCTGCCAAGCGTTTGCCCAGGCACATTCTGGCGATTCCAGGCAGCTGCTCTCCTGCCTACCCCCACCCCTCACCCCAGCTTCTGCCTTTCTGTGTCTGCTGCGCCAGCTGGTTCACATCCTTCCCCATCTCCCTGCTCAGTACATGGGCCCATCGTGATACAAACTGAGGTCTTTTCCTCAGGAGAAGGAGCTCTGCCAGAGGTTTTTATTCCCAGCACGCATCAACTCCTTAAACACTCACAGGATAAAGGCCTTGGGAAGCAGAGAGTAAACTGATTTATGGTGGGAATTGTTGAGGGCTTTGAACATAAAAGTTTTAATACAGGCATCATCTTAGAAACTACAGGACTGCTCCCTTGGATGTCTCCCCTAGCCCCACTCCAGTCCACGCCCCCTTCTTTGATGGCCCATTCCTACTGAGCAGAACTGGATTGCCACTTTGTCCGAGTTGCCCGAGTTTTGTCATCATGCTCTGGTCCACTGGGATCACCTGCTCTTTCTCGGGTGTCCTCCAGCCTTGCCCTTTTCTGCCCTTCCAGGAGGGAGGTTGGCTTGCATTGTTGTCTGCTTTTCTGAGGCAAGATCAGGTACCTCCTCAGGGGGCAGCCAGGTCATGGCCTCTGGCCCACATCTGCACTTTTACCTTCCCCACTCTTTTCCTCCCTTGTAGCTGCCTCATTCCCTTCACCTTTACACTGTTTTTTATTCTGTTCTCTCTGCTTAATGCTCTCTCACTTTCCCTCTTAAAGCTGTTCTGGAAAAACTCACCTATTGTCTCTTCTTTGATCTTTAGTGAACTTATATAAGTTATAACTTACATGTCTTATTAGGTGGTGCCCCCACCACTTCTCACTGAGGGATAGTCACTTTTTTATTTTATTTTTTTATTTTTTTTTATGGGACAGTCACTTTCAACTCAAGTTGACCCTTTGGAGTTTATCCTTCTATCTCTAAAAACTATGCTGGTACTCCTGCTTGACTTTAGGTTTAGAGCAGTATATATTTGCTTCCCATCAGGAACTTAATGATTGGCTCTCTTTGGCCCGTTGAGCAGAGCCTCTTTTAGCTCCTTTGGCTTCTATCTTCCCCAGGAGTTTCTTGCAATTTTTGTAGATTAGTCACTGGGACTATGTAAAGAGGACTTGCAGCTCATTTACATTTTTAAAAAATCCTCACCTGAGGATTTTCCATTGCTTTTGGATGGGGGTGGGGGGCAGAGAGAAAGAGAAAGAAACATATGTTATTGTGAGAGACATATCGATTGGGTGCCTCCTACATGCTGATCAGGGCTTAGGAATGAGCCTGCAATCCAGGTGTGTGCCCTTGACTGGGAATCCAACCCGAAACCCTTTGGTGCTTGGGGCTGGCAGTAACCACTGAGAAACACCAACCAGGGCTACGTTTTTTGTGTTTTTTTATTTTTTATTTTTTATTTATTTATTTTTAAATACTATATTTTATTGATTTTTTACAGAGAGGAGGAGTGAGGGATAGAGAGCTAGAAACGTCGATGAGAGAGAAACATCGACTAGCTGCCTCTTGCACACCCTCTACTGGGGATATGCCCGCAACCAAGGTACATGCCCTTGACCGGAATCGAACCTGGGACCTTTCAGTCCGCAGACCGACGCTCTACCACTGAGCCAAAGCGGCTTTGGCATTTTTTAAAATATATTTTATTGATATTTTACAGAGAGGAAGGGAGAAAGAGAGCTAGAAACGTTGATGAGAGAGAAACATCAACCAGCTGTCTCTTGCACACCCTCTACTGGGGATGTGCCCGCAACCAATATACATGCCCCTGACCGGAATCGAACCTGGGACCTTTCAATCCGCAGGCCGACGCTCTACCACTGAGCCAAACTGGTTTCGGCTAGGGCTACGTTTTTTAAAAGATATATTTTTAAATTTAATTTTTAGAGGAAGAAGAAAGAAAAGGGAGAAAGAGAAACATCAGTGTGACAATGGAACATCAGTCATCTACCTCCTGCACAGCCGAACCCCAGGCCTGTGCCCTGATGGGGATCAAACCAGCCACCTTTCGTGTAGGGGATGATGCTCCAATTGACTGGGCCACCCCGGCCAGGGCTGCATAGTTTTTACCTGCTGACTTTTTTTTTTTTAATATATATTTTATTGATTTTGTACAGAGAGGAAGGGAGAGAGAGAGAGAGTTAGAAACAGCGATGAGAGAGAGTCATCAATCAGCTGCCTCTTGCACACCCCCTACTGGGGATATGCCGGCAACCAAGGTACATGCTCTTGATCGGAATTGAACTCGGGACCCTTCAGTCCCCAAAGCCGACACTCTATCCATTGAGCCAAACCGGTCTTGGCTTACCTGCTGACTTAATGCCAGGCTTTCTGCTAGTTGTCTCTTTCCTCTTTTGGGATATTTAGACAGACCATGGGTTCCATCTGGCTCGTCTTCTTGTGGAAGCTTTGGGACCTACTTTTCCAGCGCTGGCTGCTGGCCCTGCCTGGCCACGCTGTCTTGGAAGTCCCCTGACCCTCACTTGGAGGGTCCTCTGGCCTCTTTCTGCTGGATCTTTCTGCGTCCTGAGTCTTCCTCTGCTGGCTTACATCTTTGTTTGGTGGAGCACATCCTCCAGTGACGGTCGGAAAAGGTAAAGTTTTGAGATCTTGATAATCTGAAAATGTCTCTGGATTGATGGTTTGACTAGATTAGAATAATAATTCTTTTAATATATATATATATATATATATTTTTTTAAATATTTTATTGATTTTTTTTTTTTTTACAGAGAGGAAGGGAGAGAGATAGAAACGTCGATGAGAGAGAAACATTGACCAGCTGCCTCCTGCACACCTCCTACCGGGGATGTGCCTGCAACCAATGTACATGCCCTTGACTGGAATCGAACCTGGGACCTTTCAGTCCACAGACTGACGCTCTACCACTGAGCCAAACCGGTTTCAGCTTAATATATTTTTTATTGATTTCAGAGAAGAAGGGAGAGGGAGAGAGAGAAACATCAATGATGAGAATCATTGATCAGCTGCCCTCTACACTCCCCTTACTGGAGATGGAGCCTGCAACCCCAACATGTGCCCTGGACCAGAATCTAACCTGGGACTCTTCAGTCAGCAGGATGATGCTCTATCCACTGAGCAAAACTGGCCAGGGCTAGGCTAGAATTCTAAGTGAGGAGACATTTTTCTCTAGGATTTTAAAGGCACTTAACTTCCAGAGTGCTGATGAGAACTTGGAAGCCATCTGACCCCTGACCCTGTGCGTGACCTGTTTCTTCTCTCTGGGAACTTGTGGGATCTTCCTCGTCCCTGGCTCTACCGTCTTAGCGGGACATTTTGGGGGCTGGGGGCGCTCTTCGACTTTGCTGGCCTTCGTCGGGGCCTGTCCATCTGGAAGTTCAGTTTTGGGGTTTTCTGTTTGTTTGTTGGGGTTTTGTTGGTGGTGGTTTTTTTGTTTGTTTGTTTTGGGGTTTTTGGTTTTCTTTAATGATTTTTCTCCATCATTTCTTTGTCTTTTCCTTGTGGGAGTTATTCTGCTGTTTTAACATTTCAAAAAATGTAAGATATAAGATGTGCAAGGGAGTTCCTCTGGCATGGTAGCTCTGGTTCCATCCTATAGTGACATTTATTATATATTTTTGGCACTTTAATGTGCAAGTGCTTGCTTTCCCTCCCGAATGTTCTTTTTTTTTTTTTTTTTTTTTCTAACATCCCATTCTTTTTGTTGTTGTCGTTTTTATTTGTTTTGTTTTAGGAATAGTTTATTGATTTTTAGAGAGAGGAAGGGAGAAGAGAGAAACATCAATGTGAGAGCATAACATAGATTGCCTGCCTCTTACATACCCCCTACTGGGGATTGAGGCTACAACCTGGGCGTGTGTCCTGACCGGGAATTGAACCAGCAACCAGCTGGTGCATTGCAGGACGGAACAGACAGACACACCGGCCACGGCTCACATCCCATTCTTATTTCATGGGTACGAGGCCTTTCTTACATGTTCTCCTTTCCTTGGGTTTTGCTCTCAGCCAGGTGTGTCCTTTCAAAGGCTTTCTCAAGCTGGTGGGCCTTGGTGGTGTATTCTGATTGAGAACAGTTCTCAGCTGGCCGCCAGGAGCCAGGGGTGTTCTGAGAGCACCCTTAGGCTGAGATCTGAGTCCTTTCTCCTGAGCTGGTCACATCCCCAGAGAAGAGTCTAGTTCTGTTCAGAGGGAATAGTCCTGACTGGTGACATTCAGGGAGCATTAAAAATATAAACTTCAGCTGAATCCTGTTTGGCTCAGTGGATAGAGCATCGGCCTGTGGACGGAGGGGTCCCGGGTTCAATTCTGGTCAAGGGCATGTACTTCGGTTGTGGGCACGTGCCCAGTGGGAGGTGTGCAGGAGGCGGCTGATAGATGTTTTTCTCCCATTGATGTTTTTAACTCTCTACCTCTCTCCCTTCCTCTCTGTAAAAACTCAATAAAATATATATTTTTTAAAATATATATCTATATTATAGACTTCAGCCCTAGCTGGTTTGGCTCTGGATAGAGCAATGGCCTATGGACTGAAGGGTCCTGGGTTCAGTTCCGGTCGGGGGCACATGCCTGGGTCTTGGGCTCGATCCCCGGTGTGGGACATGCAGGAGGCAGCCAATCCATGTGTTTCTCGAATCATTGATGTTTCTATGTCTCCCTCTCCCTTCCTCTCTGAAATCAATCAATCAGTGTGTGTGTGTGTGTGTATGTGTGTGTGTGTAACAACATACACACACTGCAGCCCTAGCTGCCCTGCCCTAGCTGGTTTGGTTCAGTGAATAAAGCATCAGCCCGCGGACTGAAGGGCCCCAGATTGGATTCTGGGCAAGGCGTACTTTGGTTGCAGCATGATCCCTGACCCTGGTTGGGGTGCATTTGGGAGGCAACCAATCGATGTTTCTCACATCAGGTTTCTCTCTGTCTCTCCCTCTCCCTTTCACTCTCTAAAAATCAATGGACAGATATCCTTGGGTGATGATTAACAATAAAAAATATATAAATACATCAGCCCTGGCTGGGCAGCTCGGTTGGTTAGAGCATTGTCCCAGTGTGTCAAGGTTGTGGGTTCAGTCCCTGGTCAGGGCACATATAAGAATCAACCAATGAGCCCTAACCGGTTTGGCTCAGTGGATAGAGCGTCGGCCTGCGGACTGAAAGGTCTCGGGTTTGATTCCGGTCAAGGGCATGTACCTTGATTGCGGACACATCCTCAGTGGGAGGTGTGCAGGAGGCAGCTGATCGATGTTTCTCTCTCATCAATGTTTCTGACTATTCCTCTCCCTTCTTCTCTGTAAAAAATCAATAAAACATATTAAAAAAAAAAAAGAATCAACCAATGAGTGTATAAATGAGTGGGACAAGTCAGTGTTTCTCTCTCCTCCTCCCTCTCCTTTTCCCTCTCCCTCTCCTTCCCCTTCCTCCCTCTCTCCCTCTCCCCCCCCTCCTCCCTTCCTCTCTCCAAAATCATATACATTTCATTTTAGTTGCCCCATTTTCTGCTTCTACCCACGTGTGGTTTACTTCTCTAGGCTCTTGGCATGGCATATCGGGGACCCAGCTGCTCTTTAATGAGGCTCCTGCTGTCTGGCCGCCCACTTCTCCAGGCACCAGGTGTTGCCCGCCTGCGCCCACGGGGGCTTTGGGGCCTTGTCCCCTTCCTTTCCCCGCAGCGTGGCTGCACAGCTCTGCCCAGCATTCACTGCTGGGCTCCAGCCAGGGCCAGCCTGCCCTTCTCTCTGTCACTCCGGGTTTGAGCCTCTTAGACATCCCTGTTCTCTATCCCGGGGACTCTCCAGTGCTCCGTGGGCTCCTTCCCCTGCCTGAAGGAGGGAGAGGTGGGCTGGGATGCCTGCCTGCCCACCCACCTCCGCGATCACTTCATTGTGTGAGCACCGGCCACACACAGTGACCCTCATGACTGTGTCCTGCCCCGGGCACAGTATGGCCGTACTGGCGGTGCCTGAAACCCTGCTCTTGCCCCTTGCTCTGCCTGGATTGCACGCACTCCTGCCTCTGGCCCTCAGGGAGGCCAGGCCATCGCCCTGTCTGGGTCCAAACCCTTGGTGCATGCTGCCTGGTCGTGGGCCATGCCCCTGACCCTTGCCTGGGGGGTCTCCTCGCCTCCTGGTCCTCATAGGAAGGCCTGTCATCCTCGGTGCCGCTGGTTCTGAGCGCCATGCTTGCCCGGACCAGGGTTGGGGGCCGTTGACCACCTTGAGCACTAGTCTAGGCTCCGGACTGTGACCGGGGCTGGGCGGGAACGGTGCTGGGCCATTGGGGCAGGGCTTTAACAGCTGGTTCCCCCCAGGTCCTTCCTCAGATCCCTGTGAAGAGTGGTGGTCCCCATGGGGCAGGGGTCCTCGGTGAGTGGCTGACCCCCCTCCTCGCCCCCACCCTGGGAGGTCCCTATGGGACCTGTTGGCAGTCCCTGTGCATCCAGATGCCCAAATGGGGTGGGAGGTGGGCCGGTGAGGCCTGCGGGAGCCATCCACTCCCTCCTACCAGGTGTGCACCTGGAGGGTCCGTTCATCAGCCGGGAGAAGCGGGGAGCGCACCCCGAGGCCTACCTGCGCTCTTTCGAGGCCAACGCCTTCCACGACGTTCTGGCCACCTACGGGTCCCTGGACAACGTTCGCATCGTCACGCTGGCTCCTGAGCTGGGCCGTAGCCAGGAGGTGATCCGGGCCCTGACGGCGCGTGGCATCTGCGTGTCCCTAGGTGAGGGGGATGTCCCCAGCTGAGCGGGGAGGCCGGCCTGGGGCCCCTGGGCTGGCTGCAGGGTCTGAGTGCAGGTCCCCGTGCAGGGCACTCTGTGGCTGACCTGCAGGTTGCAGAGGAAGCCGTGCAGAGCGGGGCTACCTTCATCACCCACCTCTTCAACGCCATGCTGCCTGTGAGTGCTGCCCCGCCCCCGGGCGGGCGGGCGGGCGGGCGGGCGGGCTGGGGGCCCCTGCTGCATGTAGCTCAGCTTTTCCATGCTGGCCCTGCCCAGTTCCACCACCGTGACCCTGGCATCGTGGGGCTCCTGACCAGTGACCGGCTGCCCCCAGGCCACCACATCTTCTACGGAATGATCTCCGACGGCATTCACACCAACCCTGCCGCCCTGCGCATCGCCCACCGGGCCCATCCCCAGGGTGAGCGCCTGGGCAGGGCGGGGGCAGGTAGGAGGACCATGTGGGGCAGGTCCTGAGGCCTCTTCCCCGCCCAGGGCTGGTGTTAGTCACCGACGCTGTCCCTGCCCTGGGCTTGGGCAATGGCCGACACACGCTAGGGCAGCAGGAGGTGGAAGTGGATGGGCTGACGGCCTATGTGGCAGGTGAGTGACCATTGTCCCCACCTGATGCCCACATCAGAGGAGCCTCTCAGCCCCTCAGGTGGGGTGCAAGAACCTGGGTGTCCCCAGCCAACCCACACCCCATCCAGCGTGCCTGGTGGCCCCTGCCCTCCACCCCCCCAGAGCCTGCCCTCTCTGCTCTCAAGGCACCAAGACCCTGTGCGGCAGCATAGCTCCGATGGACGTGTGCATCCGGCATTTCCTGCAGGCCACAGGTCAGCCAGGCCGGGGGGTGTGCGTGCTGGGGCGGAGGGTGCATCTGAGAGAAGCTGGACATCCTTGTCTGTCATGTCTAGTGGGGTTCCTCAGGGATGGGCGTTAGTAAGTTGGTAAAGTCCCTCCCATAGGGAGGGGGGAGAGGAGGACAAGCAAGCAAAGAGCGGGCACCCAGGGTGACAGGCATCCAAGCCAGGGCACCCAAGACTGCCCCCATGAGAGCAGGGCACTGGTCCAGGGCCTATGGAATTGCAGGACTTAGCAGGTACAGAGCTGTGATGAGGTGGAGGGGGCCAGAGCAGCAATCTATGTTCTAGGGGTTATCTGGCAGAGGTTGTGGTTGGCCAGGCCCCATGGGGCTCTTTGCAGCTGGGAGCTGAGGGCCACCAGGGCCCAGCAAGGAGACAGGCTGGATGCAGGAGGCGGAGGAAACTGGGTTTGGTTGACTTCTTGGTAGCGGCAAGCACCAAGTCCTGGGTGGACTCATGGATGCCCGGGGTACTGCTTTCTAATGGGGTGCTCTCCCTGGGACCCAGGAGAAGGAGGGTCCCCACAGGGTTGGGATGGGTGAGTGGCTGCGAGGGATGAGGCTGGGTCGGGGGCGGGTGGGTCTTGTCAGCCTGCTGCAGAGTCCTGGGATATGGCCCCACCACCACCCTATCCCTAGGACTTGGAGCCCCAGGGCTGTGGGGGCGGGGTGAGGATGGTCACCCGCTGTGTCTCCTGAGCAGGCTGCAGTGTGGAGTCGGCCCTGGAGGCTGCGTCACTGCACCCCGCCCAGCTACTGGGACTGGAGAAGCTCAAGGGAACCCTGGACTTTGGGGCTGATGCAGGTCAGGGTCCAATGTGGGGTGGCCTGGGCAGCCTGAAGATTCAGGAGTCCTTGGGAGGCCCTGGGCAGGGACAGGGCGGGCAGAGGGTGGAATCTCTCCTATGTCCAGGCAGCCTTCCCCAGCCAGCCAGCCTCGGGCAGGTCCCACTTCCCCAGCAGGCCAGGCTTTCTGACCCCGGAGACAAGATCGGGCAGGGGCTGCTGGGACCCTTACTCCTTTCTCCCACTGCCAGAGGCTGGGTTCCGGGGCCTCGGTCAGTCTGTGCTGGGTCAGGGCACCCTCTCCTACACAGCTTGTGTCCCAGGCTTTGGTTTTCCCACCGGCCTGGGGTTGGGGTAGCCGAGGCAGCCCCACCCCTGCCTCCTCCTCACTGTCCCCCTTTGACCCAGACTTCGTGATGCTCGACGACTCCCTCCGCGTCCAGGCCACCTACATCTCAGGCGAGTTGGTGTGGCAGGCGGCGGCGGCGGCCAGGCAGTGACCTGGACCCCAGCTGGAGGGCACCCCGCCTCACCGGGACACGGACAGCATGGGCTGCCAGGAGCTGGTCTCCGAGGAGTGAGTGGCAGCCCTGTCCTGGGTGAATGACCGTAGCCCTGGCGGCGACTGGCTCGGATAAACCGTCTACCCCAAAGGGACTTGCCTGGTCTCTGAGTCTTGCTTCCAAGCAGGCTTCTTGCTGTTTCCGCTGTCACCCTGGAGGCCCTCCTGGGGCTGGGGCTGGGGCTGGGGCTTAGGATTGGGAGCGGGTGGACTCCAGCTCAGCCCAGCCTTGCAAGGAGGCATCATGGGGTTTGTTGGAACTGCCTGAGGCCTGCAGACTCGCAGGCAGATGTGTCATTTGGAAATGAATGGAAGGTAGGAGCCTTAGAGATAGTCAGTCATCCTAAGGAACCACAGGCTATCGGTTGAAAAGCTGAAAACTGTCAGAAGACACTTGGGGACAGTGAATGGGACACTTGCAGAAGTTTGCCTGTTGTGGGGGCTGAGGGAAAGGGTACATCTTGGAATTTTAAACAGAAGAGCATTGGTCTTAGAGACAAATTAAGATATGGGCAAGGAATATTTAATTTGTGCTCTCAGGTGGGCACTGCATTCAGAGGTCTGAAGGTCGGGTGTGTGGGTGTCCTGGTTGCTCTCTGCACATCACCCTGCACGCCTCGCTGACCTCAGAGGGATCACACTGGCCTCCGGACCCCAGGTTGCCCAGTTCCGAGTTCAGGAGGCAGTGGTTGGACGCCCCCTGAGCTGACAGTGGCCACTGTTCCCTGGCCTGCCTGACTGGACCAGCCCTTGTGCCACCTTCACAAGCCCCCAGGATCACCCAGGCTCTGAATCTTCTGAACAACCCAACTCCCAGGAGGGCTCCATGAGCCATCCTGTACCTACAGCTGTAGGTAACCCTGTCTGGAGTTGGTGGGCAGTCTGTGGTCACCAATGTCCTGTGCCCTGCAGGACACAGGGTCCGACTGGACCCCACCATCCGAGTCTCCTCGTCCTGGCAAAGGTCCCTGGGAGAGGGCAGATGAGCTCGGCTAATAGGTTGGCAGCTGAGCAGTGGTTGTCAGCGCTTTCCTGGCACTGGGCCTCATTCATAATCTGTGGGTATTCACGTGCTCCGTTCACCGGCCAGAAACACAAAGGGCTGTCCTCTGTCATCGGGGCGCTGAGTCCCAGCGCTGTGAGCACTGGCCAGCACTTGGCCCCGCCTAGTCAACCGTGGGAGTCTTCCTTGGGCCTGTCAGCTCTCCGGGGGAGAATCGTGGGGGGACTGGTTGAGATAGATGGTGGCCAGCCAGGTGACACCAGAGAGGTCAGGAACCAGCACTGGCTGGGAAGAAAGCACTTCAGGCAGAGGGAACTGCCCCGCGTACAGAGGCTCAGTGTGTGGGAGGAACAGAACTAACCGCCACTGGGGCGGGAGCTGGGCCCCGCAGCTGCAGGGAGAGCTCTGATGTTATTTGAAGTGTAAGGCAGTGGCTGAAGTATCTTTTTTATTTTTTTATTGTGATAAAACACATGTAACAATCATTTTTTACCATTTAAAAAAATATATATTTTTATTGATTTCAGAGAGGAAAGGAAAAGGAGAGAAAAATAGAAACATCAATGATGAGAGAATCATTGATCGGCTGCCTCCTGCATGGCTCCTACTGGGGACCAAGCCTGCAACCGAGATATGTGCCTTTGACTGGAATCGAACCCAGGACTCCTCAGTTCTCGGGCCAACACTCTATCCACTGAGCCAAACCAGCTAAGGCATTTTTTTTCCCCTCCATTATTTTTGAGTATACAGTTGTTGGCATTAAATACATTCACATTATTGTGCAATCATCACCACCATTTCCAGAAGGTTTTCATCACCCCAAACGGAAATTGCATCCATTAAACACTAACCCACATTCCCCCTCCCCCAGCCCTGGCATCCGCCTGCCCACTTTGTTTCTAAGTCTGAAGCTGCCGTTTAAAGTTTGCTTTGAGTTGCTGGGGGGTATGGTGCTGGGCAGCAGGGAGACGCTGGGGGGCTGGCTGGCTGTGGGATGAGATGAGACGGGCTTGGCAGTGAAATGAGACCGGCTTGCCCTCCCGTGGGTGTGGATGGGGAGCGGGGAGGTGATGCTAGGTGTGTGCCTGACTCACTGGAGCGGGGGTGACTCACGGAGATGCGGAGGCTGAGGAAGGATCCCTGGGAGGCAACCTGGCCTGCTCTTGGGATCTCCCCGGCTTGTTGAAGGATGTGAATGGGGAGGCTCGAGGGCCCGTGTTGGTCCGAGCCTGGCTCAGGGACTGGTTTGGCCGTCTGCCACCACGTTTTTTGTGTTTTTGTTTTTGTTTTTAAGTCGTATGAGTGTTTATTCCATTTCTGCTGGCAATATGGGAGAAACAGCAGGTCATCCACAGAAATCTCTGCAGCTCCCCATGAGCCAGCAGCTTACACAAGGCAGGATTACGTGGTGAAGCAGGGACTGCAGGCATGAGGAAGTAGGAGGCTGGGGTGGGACTCCCTGTTTGGGCAACGAGGCTCTTAATCTTTCCATGATCATAGGCAGTTCCCCGTGAAAATGGTTTCAACACCCAGGTCCCCGGGCGTACAACTCCCAGCAGGTCAGAATGTCCTTTCTTTAACCAGCATAGGGCAATCACGGTTAACAGCATGATTAATATTTCCCATAACCATCGCTAGTCCCCAATATTCTGTTCTTGCCCCTTCCATTTCCCCACTGCTATTTCTATCATCTCATGTCTACGAGATTAGTTTTAGATGAAAAGTCTCATCCTGCTGGACTGGATGTGCTTCTGCCTTGAAAGCAGTTCCTAGGGATGGAACACACCACATGCAGGATCTGGGATATGTTTTATATCAACTGAGAATTATCAGAAAGTTTAAAACGGCACATTCCGTTAGGCTGAAATAGCAAGTAACCTACCACTGCCTGGTTTTCTAGAACTGTCTCCCTGGCCTGGCTCAGCTCTTGATTTATCCCATGTGTAGCCCTGGAGGCGGCATTCGGGGCTTTTCCGTGCTACAAGCCAGCTGGATCCCTTCCGAGTTAAGGAGCCCCCCATTAGCGGCTTTAACAAAAGTGGTCAGAGCGACACAGTCAGTGGGGAGCGTCATTGCAGTCCGGCACCACGGGCTTGAGAATGTCTCTCTGGTTCAGACCCTGTGAAGTTTCTGAGGCTTAAAGGTAGTCAGTCATCCTAAGGAACAGGGCTCCCCTCACCTCCCACCCCACTCCCGTGCTATTGGCAGGGAGTTACCCTACATCTCAGAAAACAACCAGCCAGCGGCTAAGTATGTCCATTACTGTAAGGGAAGGTGGAATTATCAGAACAATTCCTATTGTATTATAGTTAGTAGCAACTGAAATACAATAACTGGACCAGACCTTTGCCAGAGGGAACCACTGCAGCGATCTTTAGAGGAAACATCCCTACATCCTTCTCCCAGACAGTGGGCCCCCACATATAAAGGTCCCTGTATATGACTTCCCAAAATGAATGGACGAGTGGGATAATTCTATATATTATCAATAGGTGTCCCGACTCCGACTCAGCAACATGTAAGGCCAGTTATGCATAGGTTCCTCCACTGCCAGCCTCCGTCACCTCTTCACACTCCCAGCTGGGACGAGGGCCAGCCGCACACGGGCCTCAGCGCCGGCAGGTTCCTTCTGAAGCCCCAGGCTTCCCCTCGGGATGACTAGGACACTGCGGAGAAGATGCACTCAGGGCTGGACGCTGGTCTGCAGAAAGGTTTTGAGTGGTCCAGGTCAAAGCAGGCAGTTTGGGAGTGGGGGCTGGACCACAGGTTTCAACCATTGGGAGAGTGACAACCGCCCCCCAAAGGGCTGAGCCTGAGCAGCCCGGCTTTCTCAGTGAATCTGCAGTAGGCAGTTAGGCCCGAGTGGAATAGGAAGATAAGCCCCATGCAGAGGGTCCCCACCACAAAGAGCACCAGGGGCCTAGCAACAGGCAAAACTCCAAGCACCACCACTGCTGTGAGCATTAGCCCCTGTAGGTGACATCTGGCCTCAGCGGGTTTCAGCTCCAGCCCCGAAGCAGCAGCCAGCCAGCCAGGCGGGGCAGTGACGTGGCTGACAGAACCAGCTGCCGTGACTAATGACCCTCTGGCCTGTGCTGACCAATTAGTGGAGATTGTGACCTTGAGCGAACACACTTGGGAACCAGATGAATATCCTACTGAGATTTCTCCCGAGACCTCCTATAAAAGCCCTCAGGACTGAGCCCCAGGCAGCTACCTATGCAGCTGCCAGAGCCTTTCCTCACCCCGTTCTCCCAAATGTGTTTTCCTTGCCTTTTTTTCCTCACCTGAGTATATTTTTCCATTGACCTTTAGAGAGAGTGGAAGAGAGAAAGAGAGCAAAATACTGATGTGAGAGAAACACGTGGATTGGTTGCCTCCTACTCGTGCCCCTGCCAGAGCCCGGGTCAGGGAGGAACCTGCAACCAAGGTATGTGTCCTTGATCAGAACTGAACCCGGGACCTTTCAGTCCACAGGCTGATGCTCTATCCACTGAGCCAGATTGGCTAGGTTGCCTTTTATCTCCTAAGTTCCAAAGGCCCTTCTTTTGCCCTGATAACTTGTTTCTTGAACCCATTTCTTCTATGGCTCACTTCTACCTCGCAGACTTTCTAAATAAACTTTATGGTTTTCATCTTGGCTCTGAATTCTTTCTTAGGCAGAACTCAAGATTGCTGAACCCATGTCCAGTCTGACTCACCAGGTCTAATACCTGGCGCCCTTTCTCCACCAAAACTCCAGCTTAACCTGTTCCACTGCACCCTAGGCTGAGGGTACCTTCTTAATCCTCCCAGGTGCTCTACGGGGACCCACGGGCCCAGGATGGGATGCAGCCCATCAGAACGCACCACAGAAGGGCTCCTTCCTGAGGGGTGAGCTCTAGAGAGAGAAAATGAAGCGGGCCTCTGTGGAGCCAACCAGGAATCCCAAAGGG